AAATATCAAGTCATTATGTTGTACACCTAACAATATTATAATGTTGTATGTCAACTATACCTCAACTAAAAATAAGTAAAGTTAGAAAAAAAGACCGGAAGCAGGAAACTAGCCAATAATGAGAACAGAGCACCACCTCTACCCACCGCACCCCCCACCCACGCCCTACCGCCCAGGACTCACACCCAAACTCCCCAAACATGGTGCAAAAAGAGTTTAAAGGCCAATCGCAGCGCAGAAAAACAGACCTCTGTGTCTGGACTCCAAGTTCTGAGGAATCTCTGCAGGAAAGGCAGCCTGAGAACAGTGCTGTGAAAGGCAGGTCTGTGGGCTCTGGTGGAAGGGACGCAGGGACCCGGAGGGCAACAGAACCCCTCCAGGACTAAGATGGGGCTCCACCTCGAGGCATCCTTTCTGGGGGTGCCCTGCCCCACCCACTACACTCAGGCCTCGTGACTGATGGAGGAGGAACATCTGCGACAGGAGAGGCAGCCACGGCACCCCACCCGGCCTGCACCCACCTGCTCCAACACCCCAAGAGAGCTGGAATGGCGCCCCAGGCGCTGACCAGTCTCCAAGATGGACCTAAACCGTGACCAGGAGGCTCCGGCTCATGCTCGCGCAGTACACCTGCTGCGGGGGCATCATCGGACTCCGACCCTCAACAAGCCCCCTTCACCTCGCCATCGGAGCACCTTTACTGAGATGCTCTCAGAGCACAGCGAGGAAGTACCACAAAGAAGGGAAACCTTTCCCCTGTAGAGTCAGTGCGTTCATCCCCCGCTTCTACCAGAAAGAGGAAAAAGCAGGCCCACATGTGCCAGATACCTCAGCCCCAGAAGTGAGCAGAGAAATGCAAATCATGACATTTCACACATACTAAGTTGGTGATAAAAACACTGATAATGCTCTTTGCTGGTAAAAACATTTGGAAAATGAAATATTAATGAGATATCATTGGCAGTGAGAAATGACTCTCAATATTTTGGCAAAATGTTTCAAGAGTGATGGAATTATTTACTCTTTTTGAAGCAAAAACCCAATTTTGAAAATTTCAACCTGGACAGTAATCAATATAAGAAAAAAAGTCATAAACAGAAAGACCTCAAAGACACTAATACTCATCAATCTATAGATTAAATAGATATAAAAGATATAAAATAGATATAAAATACATTAAATACATGTATAATATGAATATAACTAAATACTTATTATATATCTTGTATATAATATAGAGGGGTCCTTGGTGGCTGAGCTGGTAAAGAATCCATCTGCAATGTAGGAGACCTGGGTTTGATCCCTCGGTTGGGAAGATCCCCTGGAGAAGAGAATGGCTACCCACTCCAGTATTTTTGCCTGGAGAATTCCATGAGGAGCCTGGAGGGCTATAGAAGCATAGCAATCATTGCATTGTAAAATAGTGCAAAGTTTTGGTAAAACATAGTATGTAATCAAATGTTTATGTATATACACTATAATTGTGAATAATACCTAGTAATATGGAAAACAGTTTGAGAGTACATCAACTTAATTTTTGTTATATTATTTTTTAATTTATTTGGCTGTGTTTGGGCTTAGCTGCAGCACATGGGACCTTCCGTTGCGGCACATGGACTCTCTAGCTGGGGCACACAGGCTCCAGAGTGCACAGGCTCAGTAGTTGCATCACGAGGGCTTGGCTGCTCCACAGCATGTGAGATCTTAGTTCCCCAGCCAGGGATCAAACCCAGTTTCCCTGCACTGCAGGGTGAATTCTTAAGCACTGGACCACCAGGGAAGTCCCTACAGTACATCAGTACATCAAGTTTAAAAGCAGATGTCTGCACAGCAGACAGGATGTAGGACCGAGTAGATCATGTGTAAGAAGAACCAAGAGCAACACGACAAAGCAAATGAGTAACTATAGCTGGGAGGATCTCTGAACCTCCCATGAAGAAGCACGAGTGTATATGTGTGTGTGTATGTGTGTGTGTGTAATCTACACAACAAACTATGCCGTGCATGCATGCTCAGTCACGTCCAATTCTATGCGATCCCATGGACTGTAGCCCGCCAGCCTCCTCTGTCCATGGGATTTTCAGGCAAGAACACTGGAGTGGGTTGCCATGCCCTTCTCCAGGGGATCTTCCCAACCCAGGGATCGAACCCAGGTCTCCTGCATTGCAGGCAGATTGTTTACTGTCTGAGCCACAAGGGGTTCACAACAAACTAGTGATTATAACAAAAAAGCAGCAGACTCACAGATACAGAGAACAGACTAGTGGTCACCAGTGGAGGTGCGGCAGTATGGGGTGGGGGAGGGGGAAGTACAAACTGTTGGGTGTAAGGTCAACTACAGAGCTGTACTGTACAACATGGGGAATATAGCCAATATTTTTTAATAACTGTAAATGGTGTATTAACTTTAAAAACTGTATAAAAATCTTTAATAAAAAATAATAAACCATGTTTAAAGACTTGGTATATAAGAATATAAAATAGCTCGATAATTCTTCAATATTGTGTTGAAATATTTCTGATATATTAGCTAAAATAAAACATGTTGCTAAGTTAAAAAAAAAAAAAGCAGCACCAGTATTCTGTGCAGTACATTAACCTGAGGAACACAGGGCTGCAAAAATTCCACTGTCTGTCGTTCTTCCCTACCCAGGGAGGCTGCTGGGTAGCGTGGGGCATCATCCAAGGCAGAGTCCCTAGAGCCAGAATGTGCTGAGGACATAGAAAGCACTGAAGAGAAGTCTGTCGAGTGAATCCCAGGATAGGATTTTACCCATGTGTGTTTCCCGATAGATTTTTGTCAAGAGACACACAGTCTTGCTTGCCTTCCACCAGCAAAAGATGCTACGGACCACATTTTACTTAAAGGACATTAAGAGTTTATTTCATAAAAGTCACAACATATATTCACTATAAGGTGGCATTCATCACCTTTCCTGTGCTATAAACTACTTTAAACACACAATTCTTTCCAACTGCTTATCTTTGGCCAAATTATGTGTAGATAATAGAGTACCGCAGAAGCCAAAATATATAGCCTATAAATAAAGTGCACTACTCTCATTCTTTAGAGATAAAAAGTTGTTCATTACTTCTCCTGATATATTAGCTATGTAGGGTGAATATGCAGATTTAAAAAAAAAAAACAAAGAATTCTATGTAAAATAAAGACAATTCCTTATTTGATTTGCTTCACCAGAAACTAAATAAGAAAAAAAAATCCAAGTGTAAATCTTTAGAATACAGTGTTCTCACTTCTAGGTGTTCTTGGGCACAAGGATATAATGCCAAGCTACAGGTGACCTGGCTTCTGGAATCACAAGACACTTACAGCGGGGGCCAGCCATACTTTTCACCAAACACTGAGGTCTTTGCCGGCATCAGCCAGGTTCACCCCCCAAGGCACATCCATGGCACCACACAGGGCGCTGTCAGAGGTGCCGAGGCTGGTACATCTGGGGACCCCTCCTCCCTGTGGAAGGACAGAGGTTAACCCCACCCTCAACACAGCAGGAGATGCTTGAAGATGACTGTTAACACTCATCATCATCAGGGCATCAGGGCAGGAGTTCCTTTATGAAGGTGCAGAGGAAGATGGGAAAAGGTCTACAAAACCACATAGAAACTCACCAGGAGACACAGCAGAGGTGAGGAGATAGGGTGGGACGGTCGTCGGGGGGCAAGGGCTTTAATGCTATTGCCGTCACAGTTTTCAAGGAAGATTTTCCAGTATCAAAAACAGGTTGGAATTTCTTACCCATACATTTCACAAGAACTCACAGTGCAACCTTTCGTAGTCTGTTTCCCAACAATTCCATGGCTTTTCGGTTCACATCTAGGATCGCAAACCCTAGTGTTCCACGGGATCTCGCCCAAACATGGGGTCGTATGGATCATTGCGTCCCCTAGGGGGCTGAGTCCAGGTCTAGGTCTATAAATAAACATCAACTCAGAAGACACAGCCAATGCCACCCCCTCCCTCCCTAGGTCGGTCAGTACGGGGGTTCTTGATTCTCCCCTGTACTCAAGAGCAGCCTGCTATGTGGCTCTGTCAAGGCGTCTTTGCAGCATCGTGCAGTCACCTATCGTACCATGCTACTCTCCACTGTGATCCACTCTTTGGAAAACCAGAAAAGCATTTGCAAGTGATGAGGAAGAAATCCTAGGGATGTTACGCCTTGGAAAACGGTGGCTCTTCTGGCCTACCAGGGAAGGCTGAACACAGAGAAGGCTCAGGTGCCAGGAAAGGAGGAGGGGCGCGGATTTTAAGGCTGACTTTGAATCTGAAGAGCCAACATGCACGAGGAAGGGGCTGAGATGCTTTCGGAGCAGAAGGCCCCACCCTCTGTGGAGCTCTTTGCCTTGGCGAGATCCCCGCGCACAGACAGGGGCTGGGCGGCCAGCGTCTCCACCCCATAGCCCTGGGCATCAGCAGAGGCCCAGTGCGGCCATGCAAGCAGACGTGGGGCTGGCCCAGGCTGGCACCACCCTGCAGAAAGAGTCACTCTTCGGCAGATGCCTGGCACTGGGGACCCTGTTGTTGGGTGGAGCCGGCAGGTGGAAAACATGCTCATGGGCAGCGGCCTCCGCCCGACCCTCCCCTGCAGACACCAGCACTTTGGTCCAAAGTCCCCATCACCAGGCACTTTGGTTCAAAGTCCCCATCACCAGGCAGAGGTTAAACTTCTCACCCGATGCTCCGGCCACTGTGCGCGCAGTGTGGAGGGCCCTGTGCTGTGTGCGCTGGCAGGGATGAAGGGGAAGTCTGTGCCGCCGGGTCCCACCCCCTGCCTCTGTGTATCAGGCTGCAGGCAAAGTGGTGGACTCTGTCACGTGGGCAGGTCACAGGTGAGGACAGCTCTTTCGGGGCTGTGACCCCCGAGTCCAGATGGTAATGAGGAGAGTGTCCCAGAGGCAAGGGCAGAGTGTTGCTTGTGTTCTGTTTGCAGCAGGTGGAGGGGTTCTGAGCAGCAGGCCGGCCGGGTCTTCAGCCTCTCTGCTCACACAGCAGACAGGTCCACGCGGTGTCCAGAGTGGCTGCTCTTGTCCCAAGGGCTGAGCCTGGTGGAGCCTGTAGCAGGCCGGGTCCCGTTCATCTGCAAACCATGAAGGAGCAAGGAGTGAAGACTCTGCTCTGAGACAAGAAACCCATGGCACCCCGGGAGTGCGAAGAGCAAAGCCTTGGGCCAGAAAGCTGCTTGAGAATCCTCCCTAGTGAGAGGAAGTGGCACTGCTCCCCAGAAAAATGAGCACTTTTCTCCACCTTCTTGGCAAGCATTTGCCTGCCTCGTAGCTCCCAGCTTCTGGGGTGCACTCAACTCTGCAGTCATTCACTCATCAATCTGTCCTTTCTTCATTCATTCATTCATTCGCACATGTATTCATCCATTGACACATGCATTCATCCATCCACTTATTTGCTCATTCCCTCTGTGTTGACTTATGGAGCAGGCCATGCACCAGGGACTGAGGGAGGCTCTGAGGTCGCTCCAGTGAGCCAAGCTGACCAGACCATTGCTCTCTTGGAGCTTACATTCTGATGGGGGAGGCGGACAATGGCCATCAAGCAAATGAATAAACTGAACAACTCCCAGGACTGGCAGGCAGGCAAAGGATGCTGGAATAGGAGGGAGCACCTTTGTTCAGTGCTGTCTAGGAAGGACTTCCTGAGATGGGATCCCTGAGCAAGGACCTGACAGGTAGGAAGCTGCACTGCAGTGAGAATGTAGGACACCACCTGCTCCAGGCTGCCTGGGGGCCATGCCTGGGGGTCTGCAGGGCAGAGAACGAGGAACCACACATCCAAGCCCAGCACTGAAAATGCATGGCTTGTTCAGACCCCTGATCATTCAAGCTCAATTTTTTAGGCATCTGTAGGGGGAGGAGCCCTGATGTAAAGGTGAGGCTGTGCCAGGGGACTTCTGTGCCTCTGTGGGACACCAGCGTGTCCAGTGTCTGCTTCTTGGTCAACTGACCTTCCATCTCCCTGAGTCAACATAAGAAGTACTGGTCCTGGAAAGTGCAGGAGAGAGGTTCAGGTGATTTCACGAGGATGGGACTTTGTTGGGGTGTGACATCAGCTTGTGCCACCTGCAGGCCTATGTCGGGTGTGAAAGGGTCGACCAACAAGCACCAGCACCTGAGCCAAGCCTCCATCACCTCGACCTGCCACTTGCCCAACACAGATGGTGCAGACAACGGAGCTTAGGGAAGGAGGAAGCAGAGGGGCCTGGGCTCAGGACTCAAACAACACAGGCTCAGGACCCCTTGCTTCTCAGCAAGGTGGGAGCTGTGTGCAGCTCAGTGAAGCTGGAGCAAGTCCCCAGCCGGCATGGACTGGCTTTCCAGGCAATGAGGACAAGGAACAAGAGCCCTGGGTCAAGACGGGCTGAGGATGGAAGGCACTTGGAGAAGGATGGGCCGGCGCAGGAGGGGTGTAGACAAGACACCACATGCACTCACAACGTCCGAGCTGAAGGGCTTCACGTTGGCCTGGCGGCTGGAGCTGCTCGTGAGGGACCAGACCTTGGTTTTATGCTTGAAAGCAGCTCTCACCTTCAAAGGCAGAATGGAAGGCTCAGTGGAAGCAATTTCAGAAGTGGAAAAAGCAACAATAAGAGGTCCTGAGGAATTTGTGCTGATGCCAGGCCCAGAACACCACATGTGGGGCAAGACAGGATTCGGAGTTATCAGGTCCAAACAGTTAGAGGTTCCAGAGCTGCGCTGTGTGTCACTGATTCGTTTGGCAGATACAGACTGTGCCCCCCTCCCCACCAACCCCCACCATACCCAGCCCTGCACGGGGAGAAAGCTGGATCTCCTGGTCTTTGCTGACCTCACAGCTCTGGGTGAAGAGATAGGACATGCTCAACAATGAACAGCAAGGGAGCAGGGCGTGTGACTGGCACAGACTTCGCCCACAGCAGTAGATGAACAAATGCAGGCGTGGAACAGGCTGTGTGCGCTTCTGAGGCTGCTCTCCTTCCTGCCCCCTCTGCCACGTGGGTCAGGCAGCCTCTGCTAGGGCTGCTCCTTGGTCTCTGCCATCATGTGACCCCCCTCCTCCACTGGCCGCCATCATCCTGGGCAGCTCACCCTGTGTGCCCCGCCCCACATCTCCTTCCTCTCGGCCTGACCTCTCCTATGCAAATGGACAGAGTCTCCTGAAAGAGCAGGACGTGTTCCCACCCTGTTCTCAATCATCATTCCAGGGGCATTTCCCCGTAATCCCAGCTTGTTATCTGTGTGTGTGTGTGTGTGTGTGTGTGTGTGCTGAGTCACTTCAATGACGACCAACTCTTTGCGACCCCATGGACTGTAGCCCACCAGGCTCCTCTGTCCATGGGATTCTCCAGGCAAGAATGCTGGACTGGGTTGCCATACCCTCCTCCAGGGGATCTTCCCGACCTTGGGATTGAACCCACATCTCATGTCTCCTGCAGTGGCAAGTGGGCTCTTTACCACTAGTGCCACCTGGCTCAAATGCCAAGGAACATGGGACCGAACCCACAATGCAAGGGTAAAACTTTTCCTATGGATTATTGGTCCTGAGAGATGGGCTCCAGAGCAGCCTGCACCATCCCCGTGGCCAAGTACATGGCAGGTGCAATGGCCCAGACTGCACCAAGAGGAATGAGCCCACTCCAGGTGCCCCAGTGCCCTTGGAAGCCACATCACAAAAGCCCCCTCTTCAATCCCTGTAGTCAAGAGTCTTCCTTACACCCCAGGCCAGCTTCCTGTATGCCTTGGGGGAGGGTTTGCTGGGAGCGCATCTGCATCTCACTCTCCCTAATATACCAGATGCCAAACAAGGTCCTGAATCTCCAACTCAGTTACTCCACACTGTCTCCGTCTCTCCTGGTCCTCCATGCAGCCAGCAGTCCCTGAGTGACATCAGTGAGGGAGGATGTGTATGTTGCTTAGCAACCAGGATGCGAGAGGAAGGACTGATGGAAAGCAGCCCCCTGCACACAACCTGTTACAGATACCAAGGCTCATTCAGGGTTACGGTCCCAGACACCAGCCAGATGAGGCCACACCTTTCCTGCTCTCTGTTCCTTTCAGAAATGAAAAACCCACTTCATGTTGGCAGGAAGTGGAGCAGACATACCTCTGAATTCAGGAGACAGTGAAAGAGGAAGATGAAAAATCCCTGGGAAGGAAAGGGAAGAAAACACAGAATTAGAGCCACTTCCATTTTTGTTACAAACACTTTCTGAGGGTTCTTTCCAATGTCACCCATGGACTCTGAGAGTGGCATTGGCATGGCTTGGTGCTGGAGAGGATGGGAAAGAGCTGTGATGCTTCATCATGAAACCATGAGGATGGAAGGGTGTCCTGTAATCTAACCTAGATGCAGACAGACACCATGACCAAGATACAGAGACAGGTACATGCCCAGATTGGCTGAACCTGGAAGAGGAGCAAACTTGCTGGGGAGGAAAAGAGGGAGGGCACAAGCCTACCAGCTAACAGCCCTTGTATTCTCACCGGCAGACCAAGGATGATGATGACAATGAAAACAGACAAACATCTAGACACTGTTCCTCTGTGTCAGCGCTAGGCAAACACTTCATCTCATTGAGCGCTAAAAGCAGCCCCATTTAGTGGTTCCTATTACTGTTCCCATTTTATGGAAGAGGAGACCGGGACACAGAGGATAAATGAGGAACCCAGGATCTGTGGTGTGTAAGGGCTGCTGCCACGACAACCTATCCCCTGTCACCATGACAACCAAAAGGAAGCTGTGTATAGGGGCTTATACAGATTAAAAGTGCAACACAGCTGCTGGTCGTGAAGACTCAGGGGCAGCAAGGACATCACGGTGAGGGCTGGGCTGGGCCGCAGTGACGTTTGCCAGGATTCAGCCTGCAGCTCAGCTGTGTAGGCTATAAATGGCAATGAGCATCCGCCTCCATCCTTCCATCAGGGGCTTATGGGTCTGGGGACTCGGACTCTGGGCATCTAAGATCTCCAGTTTCCAGGCTGTTACCTTTTCTGTCCCTGTATTAGAGGGTGGATGAGAACTCAGAACCTGAGGTAACTCCCTCTTCACCACCCCTCCATGCCCGGCTCCCTTTTGGGAGCTACCCACATGCTGACCATCTTCCATTCAGGCTAGATGTATCTCCCACAGGTACTGCCCTGAAAAATGAGGCAACCCTGTTGTAAATGGGGTCCTCCAAGCCCTGTTTGCTCAGAGACCCTGGTGTGTGCCCCATCCATGCCTCTGTCCTCGGGGATGCTCCCACTCTACGGGCTCACAAGGTGAATGTGTGTGGAGGAAACAGATCAGAGTGTCTCCCTCCTGCTGCCATGGCAACCTGCACCCAGCATCTATTCACAAAGCTGACAGCTCCCAGGCTGACAGTCTCATTGGGCCCTCACCTGTAAGGAGTTGAGTATGGCAAACATGTACTGGAAGACCATGGCCTGGTTGTTGACAGCAAGCACGCCAAAGACCCACGAGGTTCCCAGGATGGGCAGCAGCACGGCCACAGCTTTTGCGGTCAACCTGCCAGAGAAACAGGGATGGGCACTCCGAGTGATAGGCAGGCAGGGTGGGTCCAGATGCAAGGCTTCCAGATGGGAGCAGACAGAGCTACTGCTGGGAGTGAGACCTGGCTCCTCCCTTCAGGAGACCCTGGGTGAGGAGCTGACCACCCCAAATGTTTAAGACAAGGTCGGCGCCAGGCCAGCCCTGGGCCAAGCTGACAGCTCGGCTCTGGTTGGACTGTAGCCTGCTCGGGGCATCTGGGAGCCAGCACATCCACTGGGCAAACTCAGGATGATCACCCTGACCCAGCCGGTGGTGATGCTGATGGAAATGCTGATCCCAGGTGCCACAGAGGGAAGCAGAGCTGTGGGGCTGGGTAAGGTGGGAGACACAGCTAGTGCTGGGGCACCTGTAGCATCAGCTCTGAGGCTCCCCCCTCGGAATGTGAGTTCCTCAAGAAGACGGATCTCAGTCCCTCAGGGTCTGGAGAGCCCAGGACAGAGCTGGTGTTGAGGCAGTACCCATTAGATTGTCCAAGTCCTGGTTGTCTCCGATATGCCCTGCAAATCACATGCTAACTGAAGCCCAGTCTACCTGACTCCTGAAACAGCTCAGCTTTCCATGGGGATGGGCATGGAGGGAGGCTCTGAAGTGAGCTTTAGAGAAAAGTCTGGAGGCTGATGGGAGCCGTGCTGCCCAGGTCAGCAACCCGCACACCCTTTGTCCCTCAGCGCAGTGGCTGACACGGTCTCGCTCACTGGAGGGTGAGTTCTCTGGAGGCTGGACTTTTGTCTGCATCTCCGCAGCCCCAAAGCGCAGCAAGGCGCCAGGACCTGCGGGCTCTCAGGAAGTGGTCACTGAAAAGATGAAGGAAGAGCACATGGATGAGCCTGCAGACATAGGGCACATGGATCCAGCCCCTTCCAGGAGTCGGTGTAACAGCCCCAAGGCACTTCCGGGTCAGAAGGCCGATCTCCCGGCACTGACAGCTCCTGGCGGCAAATCCCTGAGAAACCAAAGGCTGTTCCCGCATGTCAGCTCTCAGGGAAGCTGCCGCCCTGTGTTTTCATAATGTTAATACAGTTAAAACACCTGAATCTGGGAAATAAAATATCATGAATGATTTAGGTTCAACCTTTAGATCCTGAAAAATTTGTAATTGAAAGGAGCAACCGCCGACAAATCGGTATCAAATGTGCTTTCAAAGAAATAGTTCATTTTTACTTTAAAAAGTAGAGCAATAAATGACGAAATCTTGGGAGAAACTCCTCTAGTAGGTGCTCTCTGAGGACTCGTTAACCAAGCTGCCAGGTCTCCTGGTCAAAGGCGGAAGGAGCGGGGTCCCTGCAGAGTCGAAGGCCTGGGCAAGGGGATGCTGTCCATACGCACGCACGCAAGCAAGCACGTGACTCCTTGATGCACACCCCCAACTGGCTCCACCCCCCCGCGGGGGCGGGGCCTGCGTGGGGCTCCACCTCCCGCGTTCTCTAACCACCCAAGGCTCCACGTGGTTCACACCTCCCTCCACACCCCCAGTCCCTGATCTCACTGGGAAAACTGAATGTTCTCTGCTGCTTTCTGGGGAGTCTGAAATCATGACCAATAAAGAGATGAGAAAGCAGGTGGAAGGCAGCCCATTAGGGCTCCCGAGGAAGCATCTGATCCCATTAGTCACTGAGCATTGAGCTGTTGGGCAGGAGGGAGAGGCTTAGATTGAATCCAAGAGAAGAGGAGCCACAAGTGTCCCGAGGAGGCTGTGTTGCATCTTCCCGCCCAGCTTCCGGGGCTCCTGCTTCACCAGCCCAGGGACGGGACGGTCACTCTAATGACACTAAGAAGGGAGTGAGAGAGCTACCCAGGGTCCGGCTGCACCACGTGAAGAGGAGTCAGCGCTGGGTGACGTCAGAGTTAGGGGTCTGTCCAGAGAGACCAGCTGGACCCTCTCCAGGAGGTTGGACCAGGGCCGTTGTGTCACCTGAAGGACACAGGACACGGGAGGGCACAGCGGCAGCACCCCAGCCATGATTCCACAGAGACACAGAAACACCCTCCTCATCACGGCCCCATCGCCCCCGTGTCAGTCTCCTCTGGGGACCGGGTCCCATGGAGAGCAGCTGGGTCATGGGCTCAGCCACCTCCTGGGCCACGGTGCGTGACGAGGGGACAGGGGCCAGAGAGGAGGGGTGGGTGTGAGCTGAGACCTAGGCTGCTCTGGGCACAGCTAGGCCAGTAGTCCCCTGGGTACCAAGTCAGAGGGGCAGCAAGAGCCTGTGCTGGAGACAGACCAGGGCCCTGTCCATGGAGGGGAGGGCCTAGGGACTGAGGTTGGGGTGAGGGAGGGTCAGGCTCCTCCCTGGCCAGGCCCCTTGGCTGGGGACAGGCTGCCTCACGGGGCAGCGCTGCCTGTTATCGCTGATGGAAAAGAAGTGGAAGTGACCCTGACCCAGGAGCATCTCCAAGGTTTCCAGGGGCTGAAAAAGTTCGAGAAGCCAGAGCCACTTGTCAGGTTAATTTACAGTGTTTAGAATTCATTACAGATAATTGTCATCGATTTGCTGCAGATATATTTACTCTTTCCCCTTTCAGATCAGAAGAGATATAGTGTAGCTAAAGTAACTTACAGAATGCCAGCTGCCAAGTAACTGTGTCCTGTTTATAAGTCACTTCAGTCATTTTCGACTCTTTGTGACCCTATGGACTATAGCCTGCCAGGCTCTTCTGTCCATGGGATTCTTAGGCAAGAACACTGGAGTGAGTTGCCATTTCCTGCTCCAGAGGATCTTCCTGACCAAGAGATCAAACTCAAATCTCTTACTTCTCCTGCATTGACAGACCGGTTCTTTACCACTAGTACCACCTGGGAATCCTGCCCTATTTGTGTAACAGCCCCTAAATTCCCTGCAAGGAGCCACCTCTCCCACTTCCTGGCCCTGTGGTTTAGAGGTGCTGCCTGCACCCCAGAACCAGGATGGACCATGTGACTCAGGCCTGGGTTAACTGCTGACTTCCATCCACTGTAACTGATTCATGGATGGGCATATGGCCTGGTCTGAGTCTGCCTGCAGGCTCAGGACCTCTGTCTGATTTTGAAGGAAAGAGACACACTTTCCCATGGACTTGAACCTTCTTTGGCAGCCATTTTGTCACCAGGAGGCACAGTTCATCTCAGGGTGAAACCAACAGGTGATGTGAGGTAGAGAAACGCAGGCAGACTGGGTCCTGGACTAAGCCATTCTAGACTCTCTCCTGAACTCATGGTTGCCTGTGTTGATAGATATGCCCTTTGCTTGAGTTAGCTTGTCTTGGGTTTTCTGACACTTGCAAGCAGCAGATCCCCAATAATGGGGTGAAGGAAACCCCAGAAGGCAGCAAATGTGAGTGTGGAGACACATGTTCCTTCTGTGGATGGATCAGCCCCAGCTCAGGTCAGGACAACCTTTGAGATGGCCGCTATCACCCCCACCACACATATCAGCAAAGCAGGGTGCTATGGGGTTCAACAGCTCACAAGGTCTCAGCAGATGGTAAGGGCTGAGCCACGACCGATGCAGCAGGACAGTCAGGCTTGAGAACCCTCCTCTGTATCCCACCACAAGCTCCTCTAACTTTAGGGGTGAAGCTGTCTCTGGAGGATCACCTAATAAACCCCCTCTTTCACAGATGGGGCAGCGAGCTGGGAAAGGGGGCTGCTCCTGGTTGAGATGGATGATGGCATGAGTTCTGTGCTCCCTGTGATGTCAAGTGGACACAGAGCGAGCCCAAGAGTGTGACCTGTCCTCCTGCCACCCCCAGAGCAGCAGTGGGTGGGCGGGGCATGGCTGACAGCCCCAGGTCCAGCTTACTTGAGGGCACTGGGATCTCCATGTATCTTGTAGTTCTCGGCGCTGATCTGTGAAATGACCCTGGTTACCGCGATGAGGATGCCAATGTTGACCTGCATGAGGAGCATAGGAGACAAGGTAAGCGCTGGAGCGCACCTGCAGGATGTCTGAGTCCACCTGGCGGCACCCACTCCCCAGCCAGGCTTCTCAAGCAAACAGATGGCATCTCTAGGAGAAACCTAACAGTGTCCTTGAACTTTCAACTACACAGATCCCCTGCAAGACTGCTTCCGGGAGCACACATCTATGCTACTGAGAAAAAACAGCCCAACATCCCAGGGCTAGTCCTCAGAAGCACATCAAAGAAAGCACCTCTCAGGCTTCCCTGGTGATCCAGTGGTTGGGAGTCCACCTTGCAATTTGGGGGACATGAGTTTGATCCCTGGTCCAGGAGGATCCCACATGCCGTGGGGCAACGAAGCCCATGGACCGCAACTAATGAGACTATACTCTGGAGCCTGCGAGCCTACTCAGCCCACACACCAGTAAAGCCTGCACACCCTGGAGCCCGTGTTCCACAATAAGAGAGGTCACTGCAGTGAGAAGACCACGCATCACAACAAAGAGTGGTCACCTGCTCGCTGCAACTGGAGAAAGCCTGCGTGCAGCGATGAAGACCCAGTGCAGCCAAAAATTAATAAATAAATATTAAAAGAAAGAAAGAAGGCACCACTCCACTCAGCACTGAGGCAAGGAGGTTGTGAACTTCAGAATCAGACAGAACTGGTTCCAATTTCCTTTCACCACATACACTCCCTGGGTGTGACACTGAAGTCCTCTGAACCTCAGTTTTTCCACTTAATAAGTATTAACACCCACAGTGCAGTCTGAGTGTTGGAAAGATAAGAAATCACATCTCCAAAGCCCCAGTACAGCCTGACTCTCACCTCCTGCCCCCACTCCAGGCTCCCAGCTTCGGGATCCACAGAGGCCATGGTAGAGGATTCTTCATCTTCTCCCCAGTGCTCCTTCCTTGCTAGACAAGGTCCCCTTGGGGTCTGGGGGGCTGGGAGGCTCCCCTTGGGGGCTGAGGGCTGGGGGCCTGCAAGGGTCGGTGGCAGTGGCCCCAGCACCACCTGTCCTCTCCCGTGGGCAGCTCTCCAGGGTCCTGAATAGGAGTCTGACCAGGCAGGCGACAGCAGAAGTGACCCCTCCCTCTAGATTTCTTTCCGCTACAGGATCCATGCCAGCTGGAATCCAGGGCTGTGCTGTGGCCGGGGACTTCTTTGTATTTGAAAAGTTCAGAGGTCATTTACAGAATCACTGAGAAGTCAGGCTCCTGGCCGTGTGCGAACTTCCAGGCCCGACCACAGGCAAGAACAAAGACTTTCACTGGCAAGCCTCATAGGGAAAGCGGCCCTCCCCATCCCAGACCTGGGGCACAGCAGGGCATCTTAAGGTCTGAAGGAAGCTGCAGGCCCCTCCCACTCTGACCGACCATGCCACACATATATCTGCATTCCTGGCCTGAATACCTGCATTCAGTGCCTTCTTAGGGGGTCCAGCCTGGGGCCTTTCCAAAGCACCTCTGCTGATACCCCTTGTCTCAGGAGTCTTGCAGACATGTCTCCCCACTCTGCCTCAGTGACCCGCACCTTCTCCACTCCCAGCCCTCCTCCTACCTCCTCCTCCCTGGCTCCCTGGTCCAGGACTCAGCAGCAGCCTCTCCATCAGTGAGCATTCCTGCCTGCACTGTTCCTTGGGACGGAGCACCAGGAAGCTGGCCCTTCTGCCCATTCAGCCCCTTGCTCACACCATCACAGTAAGTGAATAAGGGTTTATTAGCCTTTATGCATGTGTGTGTCTACAGTACATTTGTGTCTGACTCTTTGCCACCCCATGGACTGTAGCCCAACAAGCTCCTCTGTCCATGGGAGTCTCCAGGCAAGAATACTGGAGTGGGTTGCCATTTCCTCCTCCAGGGGACTTTCCCCACCCAGGGATCAAACCCACATCTGTGTCTCCTGTATTGGCAGGCAGATTTATTACCACTGAACCACCTGAGAAGTCCATTAGCCTTTATAGCAAATAACTAACAGATGCTGTCAGTGGGACCCCTGTCTTCACTGACCACCTCCACACCTGGCAGCTTGGTTCCAGATGGTCAGGCCCCCTCATTCACTCCCATTCTCTCACTTGTAAAATGAGGTTAAAGGTGGCCATCCCCCAACATCAGGGAAGATGGAAGAAGCTGGCAAACAGGAATATCCACAATGCCAGTGCCTCCCCACTCCACATTGGCTAACCAGGCAACACCCACAGGAAAGCCACACTCAGCAGACAAGAGAGAGATGGGCCAGCGTGGATGTGAAAAATGTGGGGGCAGCCCATTCAAGTGGGACAGTGACCAGAGAGTGAGGGGACTAACTGGTAGTCGCTTTAAGAATGGGAATTTTAGGGACTTCCCTGGTGGGCCAGTGGTTAAGAATCTACTCGCCAAGACAGGGGGCATGAGTTTGATCCCTGGTTGGGGAACTAAGATCCCACATCACAGGCAACGGAGCAACTAAGCCTGCGCACCTCAACTAGAGAGAAGCCCACGGGCAGCAACAAAGACCAATGCAGCCAAAAATAACCATTAAAAAACAGGAAAGAAGGTGAATTTTAATTCCAGACACTGAGGTTCAGGGAAGTTTGAAAACAGCCTCTTCTGAGGTCAGGTGGAACTGCACAGTCATCTCCGGAGGTGGCAAGCTGTGTCACAGAGTTGAGACTATCAGCCGGAGTGGCGAATCGAAAGCACAGACCCTGCTTCTCTCACCAAGATGCATGATTTTCGTGATCAAACGCTTTTCAGTCTCTATGCCTTTGGTTGATTTCTTGAGTTCTGATATGTTTGGGTTTCTCCCACCTATACTTCCTCCAGTAAATTCCTTGCATTCCGGGGGAAGAATGCTTAGTGTGGTCCTCTGTCTGCCATCCAGCAAGTCCTGCCTCTCACTTTCGGAATTTATATCCTGGGTTTCTCACACACTGGCCAAAGCTGAAGCCTTGTTTGTAACAAGAAAAGACTGGAAACAACCTGAACTGTTTCCAACAAGGAGCAGGCTGGGGGGCTACCATGGGCAGCCCGCTCCCTGGATGCATTATGGACCAAGGTAGCACTTTCCATGCAGAAAATGCATAGAACAAGGTGAATGCATATTTATATTCCTCTATATGGAAATAGATGTAGAGACAGTGGAAACAGTGTCAGACTTTATTTTGGGGGGCTCCAAAATCACTACAGATGGTGATTGCAGCCATGAAGTTAAAAGACGCTTACTCCTTGGAAGGAAAGTTATGACCAACCTAGATAGCATATTAAAAAGCAGAGACATTACTTTGCCAACAAAGGTCCATCTGGTCAAGGCTATGGTTTTTCCAGTGGCCATGTATGGATGTGAGAGTTGGACTGTGAGGAAAGCTGAGCGCTGAAAAATTGATGCTTTTGAACTGTGGTGTTGGAGAAGACCCTTGAGAGTCCCTTAGACTTCAAGGAGATCCAACCAGTCCATCCTAAAGGAAATCAGTCCTGGGTGTTCTTTGGAAGGACTGATGCTGAAGTTGAAACTCCAATACTTTGGCCACCTCATGCAAAGAGTTGACTCATTGGAAAAGACCCTGATGCTGGGAGGAATTGGGGCAGGAGGAGAAGGGGATGACAGAGGATGAGATGGCTGGATGGCATCACCGACTTGATGGGCATGAGTTTGAATAAACTCCTGGAGTTGGTGATGGACAGGGAGGCCTGGCGTGCTGCAATTCATGGGGTCGCAAAGAGTCGGACACAACTGAGTGACTGAACTGAACTGAACTGATATCTGTGTAGCACTCCTAGAATACACAAGAAGTTAGCACCAGGGGCATCTCTTTGGGGAGGTGGGTAGAAATCGGAGAGCTGAAAGAGAGACGTGGGCAGAGACTATTCATATATATTATTGAGCTTTGCTTTCAAATTTTTAGCCATGTGTGTTAATGTTCAAAAATCAAATTACTTAAATTATAAAAGGGACTAACATAAATCCTTTTTCCTGTGAATGTCTCAGTGATGTCTTTGGTCTCAGGAGGAAAACAGGCTTAACCATGAAGTGTCCCAATAATTTGGGGGAGAGGATGGAGAAGCCACAAAGCCCAGAACCTGGGAGAAGGACGCCAGGGGAGGAGCCTGAACAACCCACGTAGCCCCAGAGGTCACATCACAACCACCCCCTCCCTCTGCTGGCTTGGAGGCTGAACTGGGACCCTGCCCCAGACTTCACAGGTGTGAAGTCAGACGATTCAGGCTATGGTTCACAGACTCCTTGATGTGGCCACTAAACGGATGATCAGATTACTGCAAATCATTTCACAGACATAGAAACACTATAAATGACTGATCTAGTTTCAGATCTTGTGTTATTTCCTGGTCTCTGTATTTAAGACCCGGAAGGAAGCGTTTCAATAATGGTTAAGCTGCCGCATGATTGGCTGTTCTAATTCATCTTCGTGCCCATCTCTCCAAAGCTTCTGCTGGGGTTTATTTATTTCCCCTCTCTCTCTTTCAGTGTAGGCCTGTCTGATTTCATCTGGCGTGCATGCTTCCTCTGAGTTGGTAAGACAGTCACGTCTGCCATGGCAATATGAGAGACGGCGCAGTGAACCTCTGAATCCGCATCAACGCATTTAAGTGGGAGACGGCAGCTGCGGGCGAAACAAATCTTCCTATTTTCATGAAAATACAAAGCAGAAGCAGGTCCAGTCCCCCACTGCATTTCACTCGCCCTGGCTTGTGCCTGGCTGCAAACTGGGAAAGGCCCTGGAGTGAGGCGTCTGTAACGTGAATATCATGTATCTCATCAACTAAGTGTCTCTGCGTTAGAAAAGCCAACAAGCTACTTATGACAGAACGTCAAACCAATAATTCACAAGCTGCATTTCGGCAGAAAAAAAGGCAGGGGGAGGATATACACTCAAGACCACGGGGACCTCTGCTGGGAGGAGGGAAGGACGGGGCAGGGCTTCTGGGGTTCAGACCATACTGTGTTTCTTGACCTGACTCTGGGCTACTCAGGTATTCATGAAAACTCACTGG